ATTTAGGTCTAAATTACTCCTTATCCCCCAGGCACACAGTCTTGGGTTAGACAAGGTGACACCTCTTGTAGTTCCTTATTGTGCTGCAACAAATCAACATAAATTTAGTGGCACAAATCTACCCAAATCAAGGTGTCAGTATGACCCTGTTCCTTCTGGATTCTACAGACAGTTCATTTCCTCACCTTTCCAAGCTGTGAGTGGTGGCCTCCTTTCCTGGGTTTGTGGCCCCTTCCTTCATCTTCAAAGCCAGCAGTGGAGCCTCTTGAAGCTCCCCATGCTCTACTTCCATCACACCATGCCTCTCCTGCCTTCCCCTTTCATTTATAAGGAACATTGTGAATGTATTGGGCTCAGCCAGATATATTCCCTACCTATCTCCCAGTCACCCCCACCATATCTCCCATATATTCCAAAATAATCTCCCAGTCTCATGATTGGAATTTCATCTATAGGTTTCCTTAATCATGGAGCACATTCTCGGCTTTTTAGCATGAGGCTGTGCACATCCCTCAGGAGTCTTTGTTCTGTCTACCAGTCCTCTCAGAGCCATGGTCATCATCTTCCCACACTGCAATCTTCTCTGGGCATCTTGGACTTTTTCATCCTGATATGGGGTCAAGTTCTGCCATGATGTCCACAGTAACATCACTGGCCCTGAACCATGGAGATAGAGGCCAGTCCACACTCCCTGCAGCTCTCTCCACCTGTTCTTTTTTGTGAAGTGAAGGTTGTTCAGTCATGTCCAACTCTTTGCAACCCCATGGACTGTAACACACCAGGCACGTCTGTCGTGGGATTCTCCAGGCAAGAATACTGCAGTGGGTAACCATTCCCTTCTCCAGGGGTTCATCAAACCCGTGTCTTCTGCATTGCAAGCTGATTCTTTACTGTCTGAGCCACAAGGGAAGCCTCTTCTTTTCTAGCAATGCTCGATTTTTCAGAATGAAAAGAAAACAGATGTGACTCAAAGACCACAACTCCCAAGTCAGTAGGTAGCCTGTGTTCGTCAGCACCATGGATAGTGACTCTGCTGTGCTCAGCACCGGGCTTCAGCAAGAAGGGCTCAGTGAGAAGGGGCAGCTGGATATCCTGCCCATTTCTATTCTATGACAACAGTGAACACAGTAGAATGTGTTCAGGGGTAACCCAGTTTGCTCTAGTTTATCAATCGGGAGCACTTTCTCCTGTCTGTGTGTTAGTTATAGCTACACCCATGACAACTCCCAGGTGAACGATTCCTGCACATGGTGGGTGTCCTCAAGGAGTTTGGGAACTAACTACCCTCTCAGAGTATCTCCCCACCGCTGAGAGCCAGGTAACTGTCTTGTATTCAACTTGGAGGGAACGTTTCATGATTAAGTCCTGACCCCCACTGCCTGACCTAGGAGACACGGCTATTACCTAGCCTGGAGGCCTCCTGAGCACAGCCTATTGTTCCCCCAAACCCCAGATGAGGCCCCTCCCCCAGGGAGCAAGAATGAGCTGAATGCCTGGACTACCCTCCCAGCTCCTCCTGCCTGAACCCCAAGCCTGGTGTCAGAGCCTTTGCCATCTCTCCATGCTTCCAACAGAGCACGGGTCCTGCTAAAGGACAAGTGGGGCCTGAGACCACTCTCCAGGGTACAGTCCATAACCTGAGGGGGCCTCCATCTGCCTGTGAACCCCGGGGAAGAGAAGGAGCTAGGGCTCCCACAGTCACCCCAAATTCCTCTTCTCCATAAATGTACCATTGACAGGGGTAACCCTGAAAATTCAAACCCAGCTGTAGACTTCGCAGGGCCCAGGTCTAATCCATCCAGCATCCCTAATAGTCATTCAAAACACTCAAGTACCCAGTATAATAGTCACCTGGGTACCAGGGGCCTCCCCTGCCTTTCATGGGGACAGATTTCCTCTCACATCCCACAGCTGAGCAGTCACCTAGGTCCTCTCTGCTCACCCTCTCTCTGCCCTGGCTCAGCCCCATTTTCTCTCCCGGACACAGACAGGGCTCCAGTCAAGAGGAGACGAGGATCTGTCCCTCCGTACATCTTTCACTCTCTGACCATGTGAACCCACTCAGCCCCATCCAACACCTCCCTTCACCAGGGCCTTGGCTCTGGGTCCCTGGACACCAGGACCCCCTTCATTGAACCTCAGAAGGATGACACCCACTATGGCATGTTTCTCAAGAGTCACCACGAGAGACACCTGCAGCTCCACACAGCCGAGCCGTAGGTGTGTAAGGGCACCCTCATCCCTCCCCTCTCTCCCTGGGGTCAGTGGGCATAACTGACAGCCTCACAATACTAACCACTTTGCCCAGATCCATTCTGATCCTCTAGGTAGAGCGGTACCAGTTAAAGCAGACACTAAGCGGGCTGCAACACCCATGTACCAACCCAAACCTCAGGCCTTCTCATACCTACACCAGGACAGACACACATATAACACTCTGCTCATCCATCGAGCCTCCAAGTTCAGTCGCAAATTCAAAGCTTCAGCCAGGATAACCTCCTGGCTGTTCTTGCTCGAGTAGGCAAGTGCCAACCATTGTGTTGCCAGGGGCACCTTCCCTCCCCTTCCCTATCTGCTCAAGCCTACCTGAAAGTCCATATGACTGTCCAAATCTATTAACCATGTGCTCCCCAGGGATGCCTTCCATGACCCCAGTCCAACTGAGACCCCATTTACAGACTCTGGATGCACAAGACCTCCCCCTTCATGGTCCTTCCCTCCATTAAAATTAGCTCATTAATTCCAGGATTTTCTCCGAGTGTCCATCTCCCAATCACAAGTCAAGTCTGTTCGCCCAGGACCCAAGTCTATCCTATTCTCTGAAGTCCAGGACACAGCCCCGGGCTGACCTGTCACACATGCTCAATAAATACTCTTTAAATAGATAAGGGAATTGAAATAACAGATGCCAGACCCCCCACTCCCCACCCATGTGACACCAAGGGGTCAGAGAATATCCCTTATGGAGAGAGGGGCCCTGGCATCAGAGTGGGAGGAGACTTGCAAGTGCCCACAGCTGCTCCAGGATGGGACTTTATTCCTCCTGGAGTCAGCAGGGAGGACAGGGTCCTCTTAACTGTGAGGAGTCAGACCTCTGCTCACTCCCAGATAATCATACCCACTCCCATCTCCCAACTCAGGAGAATCTTGTAGTCTCCCTGGAGGGTCAGAGCCAGCAGTTCTGAGTACTTACCCTTCTCACGGAGACCTGACCTGGGTCAAACTCCCGATCTTCCATCCCATCAGGAGTCACCACAGGGGAGAGGGGAGCCCAACATGAACTCACGAGAATCCGGAAGCAGCTCCTTATCCCAAAGTCCCTGATCTGTGCGGACACCTGGGTCTGGTCCCTGGAGACATCTCAGCGTCCCCAGGCAGCTGAGGAAAGTTGGGGAACTTCTGGAGCAGCAATGAAGAGGGGAGCCCAGCTTCTGCAGTTGCTCCATCTCAGAGGGGCTGGGGTCCCAGGGGGGTCTCCCATCCCCTGACAGGGAAGCCTGTGTGACGGAGTCTCCAGGTGGAGCTGCCCCAGGTCCTGGCACCGTGGGGAGGCCAAGAACAGACCACTGATGGGGACACAGACGACTTGAGGGCAGCCCCAGTGCTGTGAGAGGGGCAAAAACAGGGCCTTCTGGGGTCCAGCCCATAGGCCGCCACCCTCTCCCCAAAGCTCCAGAGACCACCACCCTCCACCGGCCCTTCCTTTGAAGTCTCAGGGACTGAGAGCTCCTCCTGAGCACACGTCCACCTGGATGGATGGTTCTCCTGCTACTGGATAACGCCCATCATCTCCCTGGGCTCACCCTGCTCTGGGATGGAGTCAGGAAGCCTGGGGACCCACAGTGACCTGGGCCCTGGCTGACAGCCCCTCAGTCTGGAGGTCAGTGCCCCCCTCTGCCCAGGGTGCAGAGCCAGTTCACACCCTTTGGCATTTGCACCCCTATGCAGCCCCTAATATTGTCCTCTGGTCTGCTCATGACCTCCAGGGGGCAACATTGGGCCATATAGACAACACACAGGAAATTAACAGGTGAACTTTGCTTTGTCTAAGGAGGTGGAGAAGGAGCCTCACTTCCATCCCGCCCGCTAAACAGCGGTCTCCAACCTTTTTGGCACCAGGGGCCAGTTTCATGGAATACAAATGTGGAGTGGTGGGGATGGTTTGGGGATAATTCAAGCACATTACAATTATTGTGCACTTATATCTGTTATTATTCCATCAGCTCCACCTCAGATCATCAGGCGTTAGACCCCAGGGGGCCCTCCTCTAACAGACCCTCAGTGCCGCTTCTATGTGCCCACACTATGCTGCCCAGCCTTCTAGGGGCCTATGGGCACCCATGCCAGCTCCCATCCCTGCCTGGAACCACCTCTGGGAAAGATCACAGTGACCAAAGAAAAATCAGCCAGGGTGATAGAGGCGGCCCTATAATGGCAAGGAGAACCTGCATAGTTCTGAACCAAGGCTCAGGCAACAGACATGGAGAGGGAAAGTCTCCGGGAACTTACCCGAAGGACCAGGGAGCCCACAGTCAGCCCATCCCCCAGCACCAGGTTCCTCTCTTCCCAGGACACACAGGAAACCTTTCCTTCTCACCTGGGTACTGCAGCTCCTCCTGACAACCAGGTCTGGGTCTCTGTCCCTGAAAACAGACGCCAGGCTGGTGCCACTCTAAGGTGGACATCAGGCCCCGTACCTTCATCACTCAGCTGACCCCTTTCTCTCCTCCAGAGACAGTGTGTCCTTCCTGCGGAGAGTAAATGCAATCTTCTCAGATATTTGAAAACAACAGGAAGACCTTGAGCATCCAGCTGGGTTTCTGTCTCACAGAAACAATTACCAGCAAAATCTGGAAACCCCTGGGTCTGTGTGTGGTGCTGAGACCCCAGAGCAAAACACAGCAAAGGCCAACACTGGGGTGGGTGGGGCAGCCAAACCAGTGTTCTGGGGTCTCAGGCAGGCTGGGCAAGCGTGTGACCTGCGCATCTGATAAAACAGCATTTCTAAGGTGTCACCTGGGGGTTCACAGTCTTCATGAAGCTCCACAGGAGTTTCCCGCTTACCATGGAAATGACGTCCCTGTGACAAGAGTTCCTCATGCACCTGCCCCCGCCCCCCCCAGGCTCCTGCTCTGAAGGGAAAGGTCAGAAGGGGATGACAGAGGACAGCTGGGGAGGCTGAGTGTGCATCTGATCCACAGCAGTGCGGACCCCGGACTCGGACCCCCCAAGGTTGTGCTTTTCCAGATAAGGTGTGTGTATGTATAGGTGTGTATATGTAGGTGTGTGTGTAGGTATGTGTGTGTAGGTATGTAGGGGAGTGTAGGGGTGTCTGTAGATGTGTGTGGGGGGTGGAGCGCAGAGCGGGAAGGACAGCAGAGCTCACACAGCGACTGCAGGCCCTGTGAGCGTTTCTGGACCGGAAGTTCTCCTCACAGAGAGAGGGGCCAGCAGAGAGCAGGCCCCATGGAGCCCCCGTCAGGCCCTGCAAGCAGGAGGCATGTCCCCTGGAACAGGCTCCTCCTGGCAGGTGAGAGGGGACAGTTTTCAGGGAGTGGGCAGAGACTGGAGAACAAGAGACTGGCTGGTCTCTGAGGGAGACGCGGCTCTGAGAGGGGGCAGAGGACTTCTGTTCAGGCCTGAGGGCAGAGGGCGGGGAGCAGGGGAGGTGGGGGGCTCAGCCCCAGGGGACTCTCCATGAACTAGAGTCAGTGAGGGGCGGGAAGACCTCAAGTGGTGTTGGTTTTGTAAGTTATTCTTCACTGAGCAGTAATTGTTGAAAACTGATGCCAGTAACAATGATTTATATCTGGGTGTCACTACAGATAAATACGTAACCAAGACAGCAAACATGGTTCTTACCCGGCACCCTTAGAAACTGACAAACACCAGGTTGTGGAATTCCTGGGAACACTCTTTCCTTCACCTCCAGGAATTAATATCTAGAACCTGGTCCAGGCCCTGGGTTACAACCAGGATCAGACAAGCCCCTGCCCTCACGAAGCCCACGCTCTGTGGGGAGGAAGACAGACAAGCAGAGAGATCTAGAATGTGCTGTCGGTGCTGACAGTCGTCATGCAGGAACCAGACAGGGAAGGGTCAGCAAGTGAACACGGAGGGTCTTTACAGCAGCTGTTCGTTGTGGGGGACAGCTCCCAAGAGGCCCCTGAGTGTGAGCAGGCGTGTGAGGGCAGCGAGGGAGTGAGCTGGGGGACAGCTGGGGAAACAGAGGAAATACAGAGCCCAGAGGGGCTGAAGTGATGGGGGTCATGCTGCTGACCTTGAACCAGGAGGAAACACACACATACACACCCACACACACATACACACACACATATACACACACGCACACACACACAGCCTCACACAGTATAAAAACACACCAAGGCTGAGGGATGAAGAGACCTGCTCAGGATCCAGGGCACCATTTTCCCATCCCCTACACAGGTCAGAATATTAACTGATTTCTCTTTCTTCCCTCCTAGTCTCACTCTTAACCTTCCGGCACCCCCCCACTACTGCCCAGCTCACTATTGAAATGGTGCCCCCCTTTGCTGCAGAAGGGATGGATGTCCTTCTACTTGCCCACAACGTGACAGAGAATTCTCTAGGCTATGCCTGGTACAGAGGAGAAAGGGTAGAAAACAGCCAGTTAATCACATCATACAGAGCAGACACTAATACAACTACCACAGGGCCTGTATACACGGCTCGGGAGACAGTTTACCCCAATGGAACGCTGCTGATCCAGAACGTCACCCAGAAAGACACAGGATCCTACACCCTGCTCATTTTGAAGTTTGATTTACAGACAGAAAGACAGACTGGACACCTCCACGTACACCGTGAGTACTTCCTCTCTGACCTCGGGGTCTTGTGGAGGGGTGAATTCTGTTCTGACAGACCCGGATGGTGCTTTCATCCCCCTCTGCATTATTTCTCGTGTTGGGGTTTGAACATTCAGTGCAGGACACACACAGTGAAGACAAACTCCAAAGAGTGAGAAATGCTTTCCTGGAGACACTGTGTAGAAAGAAGGATGGTCTCATGGAGGAACTCAGCAGAGGGAGAGCACTCTCAGTTCAGCGCCCTGAGTCCCTCCCTGCGACCATGACCCTGAGGAAAACCCTGCAGGACTCAGGGAAGACCCTGGCCTGAGGGCCCCCAGGGATCCTCACAGACAAGCTCAGTCCCAGGAAGCCCCTCCCAGACTCTGTCTCAGGGCTCCTGCCTCCAGTGACACCGGGAAGCCTGCGCCAAATCCCTAGGCTCCTGAGCTGAGCACCAGCCAGGGCTCAGCCCCAAGAGCCACCTGTGCGCAGGGGCATAGCCTGGTCCTGCTCCTGAGACTCAGCATGGAGATCACACAGGCACAAGGTCCCCAGGAATCAGCCAGATGCCCTGGGGGCCTTGGAGACTCCAGAGAAATCTCCGCAACCCCAGAGAGGAACGGAGGAAGGAAGACACTCCTGGTAGCTCCTCGTCCCCCAGGGTGCAGCCGAGGGAGCTCTCTCCCGAGGCTGGTTTATGAAAACCAGGAGAGATGCTAGGTGGTCTCTGAATCCCACCCAGTTCTGTCCACCACTAAACGCTGCTGCACAATCAACCCCCGAGGAAGTCTGTGCTTCTCCCAGACATAGAGCAGCAGGTGGCCTCACACTCTCTGAGCTCAGATCGCCATGCATTTGTCTTGGCATACACAAACCTGCCTTATTCTTTAAGACTCTGTCTGGCTGAGAGGTGAAGGATTCCAGTTTTGTTTAAAGATGCTTTTAGAGGAGCGAAAGGTGTAAAGAAAGTGAGAGTGTTAGTCGTTCAATCATGTCCGACTCTTTCCTACCCAGTGGACTGTAGCCCACCAGACTCCTCTATCCATGGAATTCTCCAGGCAAGAATATGGACTGGGTGGCAATTTCCACCTCCAGGGGATCCTTCTGACCCAGGGATTGAACCCAGGTCTCCTGCACTGGCAGGCAGATTCTTTACTGTCTGAGCCACCAGAGAAACTCAGGGGTTTGTACTCTCTGTTATTTCCGCTGTGATGCTACCCACACCTGTCATCACCAGCAATAACTCCAGTCCCTGGGAGCACAAGAATACTATCATGTTAACATGTGGACCTGAGACTCAGAACACCTCCTACATGTGGTAGATCAACACTCAGAGCCTCTCCAGCAGCACCAGGCTGGAGCTGTGTGAGGACAGCAGGACTCTCACTGTGGTCACTATGACAAGGAATGACACAGGACCCTATGTGTGTGAAGCCCGGAACCCAGTGAGTGTCCGCCGCAGTGACCCATTCACCCTGAAGGTCCTCTGTGCTTGTGTGGTCCAGGCTGACTGGCTGAATCTACAGTGCCAGAGGCCAGGCTGTACCCATCCCTCTCAGGTCCGAGTACATGGCCCGTCACCCCTGGACACCCAGAATGGACATGACTTCCTGTCCCAGGCAAGTCCAGGCAGGTCCACCTTGAATCAGGACACGGAGGGGATGGGCTGCTCTCTCTTGGTGCCTGAGGATCACAGAATATGATGGGAGAAACAAATTAATATTTCAGGCTCACAATGAGTGAGCATGAAGGGTAATGATTGCAAAATTTTCAGACAAGTGTGTGAACAGCTAGAAAGACCCAGGGACCCTAAAAAGACCAGGAACTTCCCTTCCCTCTGACTGCACCATGTGTGGCTTTATGCTCTTTTGCTCCAAATGATGTGGACACCCCACCACTCCCCCCTCAGATTCCTCTTACCATCCAGAGGGAAACCTCAATCTTTACTGCCACACAGCCTCTAACCCAGCCACACATTGCTCCCGGCTTGTCAATGTGAGGCCCCAGCAATACGCCCAGGTTCTCTTTATTCCCAGTCATAACATGTACTCTCAGATCCTCCACTCCCTGACTGGCCTGGATAGCCCCACAGTCAGAAAATCAAGGTTCCCAAGGCTGATACCGCAGAGCTGTCCAATATTAGAGTGTTGTCCCAGCAACCAGGCAAGGGTCCCCCTGGTGTGATCTGGGGGTCAGAGGAGATATGCGATCATCTCTCCCATTGTCACCTATCAAAGACCCAGGGCCTTCCTTACAGGCGCCTGTACAGAGGTCACTGGGCCCCGAGACTGAGGACGGAGCATGGCCCAGGCCCCTGACCCACTCTCAGCAGTCACCCCTCTGTCTCTCCACAGACCCAGTGGCACGGCCCTCCCTCCAAGCCACCAACACCACAGTCACAGAACATGAGGGTCCTGTGGTCCTGACCTGCCTCACAGATGAGACTGGGGTCTCCATACGCTGGTTCTTCAAAGGCCAGAGTCTCCTCCTCACAAGGGGGATGACACTGTCCCTGGACAATAGCACCCTCACCATAGACCCCGTCAGCAGAAAGGATGCCGGGGATTATCAGTGTGAGGTCTCCAACAGGGCCAACTCCAGCAAAAGTGACCCGCACAGACTGAGTGTGACCTGTGAGTAACCATCATTGCCTCCAGTGTTGGTCGTTCAGTGGTGTCCAACTCTTTGACACCACAGACTATAGCTCACTAGGATACTTTGTCCATGGGATTTCCCAGGAATGAATCCTGAGGTGGGTTGCCATTCACTACTCCAAGGGATCGTCCTGACCCAAGGATCGAACCATGTCTACTGCACTGCAGGCAGTGTTTTCCATATAAGCCACCAGTGAAGACCATTTTAACCTGGAAAAACTTCCTTTATTAATTCCACCAGGAATTAGCCTATCATCTCATTTCCTTCACTTCAAGCAGTTGGAATGTGTGCTGTTTCGCCCCTCCTCACCCCTGATTTCTCCTGGCCCTCTGCTGTGAAGCCTTGTTTCCCAGGCCGCTGGAAGCAGCACTAAAACCAGTACCTGGGACTTCCTGGGCAGTCCAGTGGTTAAGACTCCACCTTCTACTGCAGGGGTTGCCTTGACCTCCTCCAGGGGATCTTCCCCACCCAGGGACTGAATCCGTGTCTCTTGTTGGTCAGGCGGGTTCTTTACCACTAGTGCCACCTGGGAAGCCCCAGTGAGTCATGAAGCCTAAATCTCCTTTTTCTTGTGTACAATGGTGTTTATGAGGCATTTTGTAGAGCTTTGTGAATACGTGCTCCAATGAAGGTGGAAATCACAGCAGAAGTGTCTTCAGGCAGTAAGTGTTCAGTATGTTGGTTGGCACTGTTGCGATTACAGGCTTGCTGTCACATTCAACTCCAGGTCCCTCCACTTGTATTTCTTAGTTGCACCGTCATCTCTACAGTGGAAGCAACACAATTTCCTCACAGGATGGGCGGTGGTCATGTGTGCTGAGAGATGGGGGCCTTGAGGACTGTGATTTGCGAAACATAAACTCCCATGACTCTGTGTTGCCTATTGGTCGGTTAGGTCTCTGTTTAGAGTGCTTTCATGTTCTCTAGTTTCTCACTGAAATTCTCTCGGATGCTGTGTCCATTATTGAAAGTGGGGTGTTGTAGTGTCACTGTTATGGCAGAGCTATTTCTCCCCTCGATGATGCCCATTTTTGATTCACAATTCTGGTGGTGTTAGGTGCATAATGCTTATGATTTTTTTATTTCCTTTATGGATGGAAACTCTTCTTGATATGTAAGGTCCTACTTTGTCCCTTGTAGGCTTTTTAGATTTAGAGATGATTATATCAGACACTCATACAGCCACCACAATTCTCTTTTTTTGACTATTTGCATAAAATATCTTTTTTCCAACCTTACTTCAACCTTCTATGTCTCTGTATCTAAAGTGAGTCTATTGAAGGGAGTAAAGAGAGGGTTATAATTTTAATCCATTCGGTCAATCTCTGCCTTTAATTTGAAGGTTGAGGCTATCTATCATTCAAATACTTCCTGATAAGAAAGAGCTTCTGCCATCTAGCTACTTGCCATATGTCCTACATGCTTTATTCATTAATTCCTCTATTACTTACTGTTTGGTATTTAGGTGATTTCCTTTCATATGTGTCATTTTGATTCTATTCTTCCACTTTCCAGTGTATTCCAGTTCTTTTCTTAGTGCCTAACTTGAAGATGACAGTTATATCTTAAACATATACCTATCGAGTTGACATACCAACTAGATTCTATGATGTATAATACAATGTGCTCCTACACATCTCCATTCCCCCCATTCTATACACTTACTGTCATATATTTCAGCCATCCGTATACAATGTATGCCGATTATATAGATTTATAAATATCGTTTCATGCAATACCTTTGAGATAAAAAACAAGAACAAGTGATTACATAAAAGACAGTAATACTGGCTTAAATAAGATAGCTACCTACTGTGTCCCTTTGACCACTGTTCTTCATGTATTCCTATGCCTCTGCGTTACTGTGTAATGTTTGTTCAGTCATCTTAAAGGATTCCTTTTACATTTCATATATGCCATGTCTCCAAGGAATAAACTCCCTCGACTATTGTTTATCTGGGAAAGTCCTAATTTGAGCTTCATTGAAGGAGAGTTTCTATATACATTGCTTTCCTGGTTGACAATCTTCCTTTATACAGCTTAAATTGGGCATCTCAATACCTTCTGGCCCCCTGGCCTCTGATGTGAAATTTGCTTTTCACCTTATTGAAGATCCACTGTACATGATAAGTCACTTCTCTTGCTGCGTTTTTCACTTCCTCTTTCCCTCGGACTTTCAACAATTTGACTATATTGTGTCACAATGTCTATATCTTGAGTTATCCTTTTTTGGAGTTCCTTAACCATCTCTAGTATGTGCTCTCATCTAGTTTGGGAAGTTTTAAACCATTACGTTTTTATATCTTTTTTCTTTGCATTTTTCTCACTCTTCTATTTCAAGAACTTCCACACTGCATATGTTTGTGCACTTGATGGAGTTCTGCATAATACTTTGCCTGGAGTCACTATTCATCTTTTTTTTTCCCTTTCTACTTCCCAGTCTGAATAACTTCTTTTTTTTCTATCTTCATGTTTACTGATTCTTTCTTCTACCTGCTCAAATGTGACGAGGAGTCTTCCATCTAAGTTATTGTTTTCAGTTCTTTTACTTCAGCTCCAGATTATATTCGACCCTGTTTAAATAATTTAACAATGAGGAAGAACACATCTTTCTTGAGAAGCAGGTACTCCTCAGACCTGCCCAATATGGAGACAGCCATCCTCCCACACTGAGGACTCCAGTGCTTTAGACATGGACCTTGATTATATAGCTACCCAGGTCAATCTCAGACAAGCACATTAGGAATAGACAACCACACCAGAGAAGAGGCTGGTTTTGGACCCTGAGAAGGAAGGCTCATCCCAAGGAGCTCTCAGATGGCACGAATCGAAGAACTGGACATGTCCTCACGTTTGATGTATCCTCTACCCTCTCCAGGGGCTTCTCAGGTGGGGCTGGTGGTAAAGAACCAAAGAACCTGCCTGCCAATGCTGATGCAGGAGACTAAGGGATGCACGTTTGATCCCTGGGTCAGGAAGATCCCCTGGAGGAGGAAATGGCAACCCATTCCAGTATTCTTGCCTGGAGAATTCCATGGACAGAGGCACCAGTCCAAATGATCAGGAACCACAGACAAGGGTCATGCTGTTTGGTAGTCAGTCGCTCCCTCTTAGAAATCCCGTGAGCCTTCCAATCTGGGTGCAAAGAGACCAAGTGATATGGGGACATGCATCCAATGGTCAGTGAATCGATGAGCAGAGTTTATGGATCACTGAGAAGATGATGCTGTCCCAGACAATCAACAGTGTCAGGACTGTCAGCTCCCGCCTGTGTAGGGTCTCCTCCCAGTCAGTCTTCAGATGTGACCCCAGCTCCACAGCTGAGCACTCTAAGTGACCCTCAACATCTCTACATCTTCCCTTGTGGGAAGATGGGTGTGTAATGAATGCAAATAATGAGGATGTAGTCTCCTTTCAGAGCCTGTAGAACAATGTGTTTAATTAATTATGCAAAACTTAGCTAATTTTGTCATAGTTTGGTTATTATTTGTGAGAGTTGTTTGACTGTAGGCAAGGCAGTGGATCTTGTGCCTCAGTTTCCCTGTCTGTAAAACTGGAGAAGAAGAACTGGATCTTAGGGCTGCTGTGAAGATGTTCACTAGGAGTGAATGAGATTAAAATTCTTCCCTGGGTACCTACACAGAGTCAGCATGCAAGAAATGTTTTCACAGGTGATATTTTGGTTTTCAACGTTTTGGGTTTTGGCTCTAGAGTTAAACAACTTGTTTATATTTTTGTTTCACCCAGTCCTAGTTCCATGACTTCCATTGAGTTTTTTAACTACTGTGTGTCTCAGATCTATGTATGTTCAGAGGGGAGGACAACCCCTCCCTCATGGGGATGGAAAGATCCAAACAGATGGGTGTAAAGGATTTCCCACACCGCCAGTCACACAGGAAGACCTGGAAACAGTTCATTAATATTATCACTACTAATCAGTGTTGAGTGGACTGGAGAGGACCTGCCCTCTAAGACCGACAATAGTGATAGAAAGAAAAAATCAGAGGGAGGGGGCATAATGTGTGACGAAAAGAGTCCTTCAAAGGAAAATGAACAGGACATGGAACTAGCTACAGTGAGAGAATGGAGAGTTAGAGCAAGTCCAAGGTTTCAAATTTGATAAAGAGTGAAAAGATGCAAGCACGTGCAGTGGGAGAGTCAGGAGGACACTGTGATGACAAAACACACCACAGGCAGACCTCAGAGCATTTCCTTCCTCCTAACCAGGACCTCCCCCTGTAAGACTCCTCGGGATATTCCCTCCAGTGAACTCGGACCCCACTTCCCCTCTCTCTCTCCTGCTTTCAGGGCAAGAAAACACCCAAGCGCTCAATGTGGAGACCATTGTTGGCATCGTGATTGGGCTCCTGCTTGTGCTGTCACTGGTGGCTGCCCTGGGATGTTTCATTTTCCTTCACAGGTACAATGGCATTCCCAGATTCTGCTCCTGCCCCCAGGTGACCCTAGTCCTAGAGGAAGGACACTCCATCCTCCCATTCTTGGCCTGGATCTCCAGGACCTCCCCACTGCCCCGTGGATATTCTCTCTCATCCTTCAGTTCCTCCCTCACCAGGTATTGACCTGTGGCGGCTTCCTTAACACCGTCCTCTTTTATTTTGTTATTTAGTCGCGAAGTTGTGTCCAACTCCTTTGCCACACCGTGGACTCCACTGTCCACGGAATTTCCCAGGCAAGAATACTAGAGTGGGTTGCCATTTCCTTCTCCAGGGACTCTTCTTGACCCCGGTATCGAACCCACATCTCCTGCACTGGCAGGTGGATTCTTTACCTCTGAACCACCAGAGAAGCCTCATCTATCAGTTAACACAATTAAGACCCCTCCTTGTCCTAGTTCCCTATATGTAGGCTGGCAGGTTGTAAGTTCTCAGAAAAAGGTATGTCTTCCAATATATTTAAATCCAGCTACTCTGATGGGAGGCTGTCACAGGGCCAGGATCTGAGGGTAGTCCTCGCCAAGTCCACACTTGGCCAGAGAATGGAAGTCTGGACAGGCCAAGTGGGGTCAAATGCCCCCACGTGGCCGATGCATTAACAACAGCCCCTGATGCATGAGACAGAACATCATGCCAGGTCAGCAGGAGGTGGGATGTCTTTACACTTAAGGTCCAGGTAGATGGAGACAGAGGACAAGGCCACTGTCACATTTCAGCATCTCCTGGATGAAGGCAGGTGGCTGCAGCAGCGACACTGCACTCAGTGAGATCCCAGAGTCACTGGCTTCCCCTTTCCTCCCCATGCACTGGCCCTGCTCTCTCCACAGGCGTGATGCATCCACTCAGACAAAGCTTTAGATGGATGGATGCCTTTCGCAGAGCCTTGGTCCCTTTGCTGGCCACTTTCTCCTGAACCCTATTAGCCTGTGGTCCTGCCCCTCTGGACTCGGGGCAGATATGGCTTCTTAAGGACTTTCCTCAGCTTCCTTGCTGGGCCCTCCCCTCTAAGCATCCTTGGTGGAGAAAGGAGGTGTCCAGCCTCTGCTTGGACATAGGGATCCTCCTGTCCCATGTTCTGACAACAATGCCTTGACCTCCCTCTACACTCCTCACAAATTAGCCTGTTGCTTTTTTTTTTTTTCTAACCCTGGTTGCCGGCACCACAACAGAGGGAACTGGCTTCCAGCATCCACCTCAGGTGAGTGTCTGTTCAGCCCAGGACAGCGGGGAGCCCCAGTCAGGCCCTGCCACATCTCTTCCTGCCTGCCACCTCCAGGGTCTCTGGTCCTTTCTCTGGGGCTTCAGAACAGGGGACCCCTAATGCCTAGGCTGCTTGTCCTATGGCTTATAATCCTGGCTGGCCCCCTCGCCCTCACTGGGGCTTGAAATTGCCAGAGTGTCTCTCCCTTCATGGGGATCTTTCTCCCATAGTTCACCAGAAGGTGGACATCCAGCCTCTCCTCAGAATGGGCTAAGCTTCCTCACACGCCCGGTGCTAACTCCTATTTCTTCTCCCAGGACGTGGTCCCTCTGGCAGCTCTGTCTCCCAGGTAAGTACATCCCTTCCTTGTCTCTTCTCCCCAGCGTCCCCGCTTCACAGGCTCAGGGCAGGGGGACTGTCCAACCCTGAAGCACTGTGAGACACCCTTCACTCGAGGGCAATTGAAAATCGCTCAGTCGTGTCTGACTCATGTGACCCCATGGACTGTAGACCGCCAGACTCCTCTGTCCATGGATTTCTCCAGGCAAGAATACTGGAGTGGGTTACCATTGCCTTCTCCAGGGGATCTCCCTCACCCACGGATCGAGCCTGGGTCTCCCGCATCGCAGGCAGATTGTTTGCCTTCTGAGCCACCAGGGAAGCTCACGAAAGTAGTTAGGACATGGCAAGTCCCACCAAGCTGGGAGCTGGATGCGCTTCAGGGGCATGACCACCCACCACCTTATCCTGAGGCTGCCCTGGTCCCCTGACTTGACCTCAGGAGAACCTTGCAGTCGAGCTAGGAAGAGAGTGGGCACGGGATCATCAGTCAGGGGAGCCAGGCTAACAAGGGTGGCAGTCAGAGCCCAGATAGGATTTGCGGTGGGGGCTGCAGGCTTGGAGATGGCTGCATGGGACAAATGACTGTCCTTCCCTCTTTCCCTATGCCCGTTCTCTCCCGTGCCCAGGCCTCCCTACCTGATGCCAGATCACCAGCTCCCATCTACCAGGTGAGTATGGGGATCCAAGTTCTGGTCGCATAAGCCCAAGGGGCTCAGGAAATGCCCCTTAAACACCTGGCTGTGCTTGGGGGTCCAAGAAATAGCAGGAAAGATGGAAAAGGGATGAAGAAGAGAGGGGTCTGGGCCAAAAACCCTCTGATACAGCCAGACACCCCCCACAGAGCAGCCCTGGGGGACCTGGAGCCGGGAATCCCTGGTAAGTCATCTGAGAAGGTTACATGAGCTCCGAGGCATCGGTTTTCTTTTGCAGGAATTACTACGCCCCGACACAGATGTTTACTGTCAAATCAACCACAAAGCAGATGTGGGTCATTAGTTCCTCCAGACACATCTCCTTACGGACTGTGGGAAAGAGCTTACCGGAGACCCAAGACCCGAGTGAGGTCAAGAGGTGGAGCCTGAGGCAGAGAACCAGCTCTGAGGCCTGAGGCTATTCGGCAACCTGGGTCCAGGCTCAGGGTCCTCCTGGATTCTTAGAGACCCTGACAGGCTGCCTTGAACCCTGAATGGACCAGAACTCAGACTGCAGTTCCCACAGTGGGGGGACCCACTGTGACCAGCTGAGAGATCTGCATAAAGAGCACTTTCCTTCCCCTGCTTGCAAAATATACGGCCCTTGAGTCCTGTCCAGCAAGAAATTCACCTGAATGTCTGCTCCCGTTTCTCCATGGTCCCACAGGGAAAGTATTAGCTCTGGTTACCTGACCTCCCCATCTATTCCCTGTGGGAAAGCAAGGGGAAGGCTGTGAGAATGGAGGTGGGGGGCATGCTAACAGGAAAGGAGGGTCACCAGACCCTTCGCAGCCACACGGGCACTCGGCAGTCCTCACACTGCCCTGGGGTCCCAGACACCTCCCCGTGCTTGCTCACTTGGAATGGAGTCTCTGGAGCACAGAATGTGGGACCCCCTGAGACCCACTAGAACACGAGTCAGGAAGGAAGGACGAGTCGCGTGTGAGACACATATTCTGGGTGAGGCCCCAGTGCAGCCTCTTGGCGTCCTGAGCGCTCTGGTCCGCCTCACCAGGCCCTGCTGGCCCCAACTGGTGGCTGCCTCCAATGAGCTTTTGGTTCAGTTGCCAAGTTGTTTCTGACTCTTTGGGACCCCATGGACTGCAGCACCCCCAGGCTTCCCCATCCTTCACTCTCCCCCAGAGTTTGCTTCAACTAATCTGCACTGAGTTGGCGATTGGGCGGGAACTTTTGTCTGTCCACAGATCCAGGCTCCAGAATGCCTTCTCTATCCGTGGGTTTCTGTTGATTCCCTAAGGGCCTGAGCCCTGAGGTCATCGTCCCCTCTGGGGGGACAGAGGAGCAATCAGAGTCACCGAAGTAGGAAGGACCCAGAAGCCATGCTCTGAGCAAGGCCTTCCCAGGAACTTCCCGTGACCTCTGTCCACTTCCTGTTGGTTTCCACTTTGTTCTCCAACGTGGATCATGAGGCTACCCCCCCCCCCCCCCCCCCNCCCCCCGCGCGCACACACACACTCAAGCCTAAGGGCGGAGTTGCAGGGCTCTACCTAAACATCAACCTGGCTACCACGGCGAAGGGCCCACCTGTCTCCTCCTCAAAGTGTCCCAAGGGCCTTTCCCACCTGCATCTCACCTGAAGCCCCCACCACACACCTGGGCTAACAGTTCTGTCTCTCCCTGAGGTCCCTGGGATAGGTGCTGTTCTCATATAGGTCTGCTCAGGTCTCCCCCCACACTCACACAAATATAGCAGGTGTGCGCACTAAGGCAGAGAGCCCACGTTTGACAAGCATGCTCTGCCAGTGGCCAGTGTCATTTGTGCTGAGATGAGATGAGAGGTAAGAGAAACCACCTGCAAAGCTTCCGATTATGATTTAGGTCTGAATTACTCCTTATCCCCCACCCAGGTACACAGTCTTGGATTAGACAAAGTGACACCTCTTGATCTTCCTTATCATGCTATGACAAATGACCACAAATTTAGTGGCACAAATCTACCCAAATCAAGGTGTCAATATGACCCTGTTCTTTCTGGATTCTACAAGACTGTTCATTTCCTTGCCTTTCCAAGCTGTGAGAGGCTGCCTGCTTTCCTGGGTTTGTGGCCCCTTCCTGCATCTTCAGTGCCAGCAATGGAACATCCTGACACTCCCCCAAGCTCTCCTTCCATCATCCCATCTCCTCTGGCTCTGCCTCTCCTGCCTTCATCTTGCATTTATAAAGAATATTATGAAAGTATTGGGCTCAGCCAGATATATTCCCCACCATAATCTCCAAGTCACGTGATCGAATGTCTTCTGTAGGTTTCCTTAATCGTGGGGCACATTCTCGGATTGTGGACTTGAGCTTGTGGACAGCTCTTAGGGTTCTGTGTTCTGTCTACCACTCCTCTCAAGGCCATGGTCATCATCTTCCCTCCCTGCAATGTGCCCTGGGCAGCTTGGACTTTGTCATGCTGATGTGGGGGTCACGTCCTGCCATGACATCCAGAAAAATCTCACCGGCCCTAGGCCTGGAGATTGAGGCCAGTCCACACTCCCTGCAGTAATCCCCACCTCTTCTTTTCTGTGAAGTGAAACTTGCTCAGTCTGTCCAACTCTTTGCAACCCCATGGACTGTAACCCTCCAGACACATCTGCCATGGGAATCTCCAGGCAAGAATACTGGAGTGGGTATCCATTCCCATCTCCGTAGGCTCATCAAACCCAGGTCTCCCGCATTGCAAGAAGATTCTTTACTATCTGAGCCACAGGGGAGCATCTTCTTCACTAGCAGTGCCCACTTTTTCAGAATGAAAAGAAAGCAGATACGACTCAAAGACCCCAGCTCCCAGTCCCTGGGTAGCCTGTGTTCATCAGCACCATGGACAGTGTCTCTGCTGTGCTCATCCCAGGGGCCGCAGCAAGAAGGGCTCAATGGGAAGGGACGGCTCAATGGATATCCTGCCAATTTCTATAAGAAAGATGAACATAGGAGAAGGTGTTCAGGGATAACCCAGTTTGCTCCAGTTTATCAGTCGGGAGCACTCTCCTGTCTGTGTATTAGTTGTATCTGCACGCATGATAACTCCCGGGTGAATGATCCTGCACCTGGAGGGTGTCCCCAAGGAGGCTGAGAAGTAACTCTGGCCTCTCAGAGTATCTCCCTGCCGCTGAGTGTCAGATAACCATCTTGTCTACAACTTGGAGGGAGTGTTTCATGATTAAGTCCTGACCCTTGGTACCTGACCTTGGAGACAGCCATCACCTAGCCTGGAGGGGCCCCTGAGCAGAGCCTCCTGTACCCTCATTCCCCAAATGATCCCCCGTGGCCCAGGGAGCAAGGCTGAGCAGCAGGCCTGGGCTACCCTCCCAGCTCCTCCAGGCCAAGCCCTGAGCCAGTGTCAGAGCCTTTGCCATCTCTCCATGCTTCCAACAGAGCACGGGTCCTGCTGAAGGACAAGTGGGGCCTGAGACCACTCTCCCAGGTACAGTCCATCACCCGAGGGCTCCTCCATCTGCCTGTGAACCCCAGGGAAGAGAAGGAGCTAGGACTCCCACAGTCACCCCAAATTCCTCTTCTCCATAAATGTACCATTGACAGGGGTAACTCTGACGCCCAAACCCAGCACTGTACTTCCCAAGGGCTCAGGTCTAACCCATCCAGCATCCCAAACAGTCATGCAAAATGCTCGAGACACCCATTCTAATGGTCACCTGGGTCCCAGGGGCCTCTCCTATCTTCCATGGGGACAGACTCTGCAGGAATCACCCGGGCTCAGGTGCGCCACCTGCGGAACCATGGTGTTTAAACGGAGCAGCAGAAGGAGCTACTGAGGGTATCTCAGGGGTCCTGGCATCTGGTCAACCACAGAGGCACAGCCAAAGGACTTCGTGATAAGATGAATGGAAGGCTGGGTAGGGGATAAAGGAGGGATGTGGGCAGGGAGATGGGCATATGGACACACGTGCTATCTCCTCACAGAATTTTCCGGTAAAGGGTGAGGATGCTGGAAATAGACATTCTCCTATACTCCCCCTGCAAATGCAGTTTAGTGGATACAGTGACATTCAGCGTGCACACCTGTTGACCAAGACTCCAGTTCTAAGAGGAACCCTGAGCTGGGAGCTCGGACATGGAAGGATTCACCTGTCCTGCTTCTGCTGAGTCCACTGGCCAGCTCCAGGCCTGGTGCAGGGAGTTTCATACCTGTGTGCCAAATGAATGAGCTCCTGGATCATACTCCACAGGGGTGGAGATTTGTGGCGAGGTGTTCACTGCAGAGCTGATGGTCAGTGTGAAAGGCAGGATGCTAGCTAGTGGCTGTCTAGACTGAAAACAAATTTGCAGTGCAGTCACCCAAATGGCAGAGCAGGTCCTCAGCCTGTGGAAAATCAACGTTTCAGTGGGGTCCTGGATGTTTGAGAAAGAAGGACATGAAAAGAACACCAGACAACTTCGGGAATAACATTTAATTCTGAACTATTCTTATTATTTTTTTTTAAATTTCTGTCTGCACTGGGTCTTCATTGCTTTTCCACCGGTTTTCTCTAGTGCAGTGAGCAGGGGCTAATCTTCGTTGTGATACACCGGCTGCTCATTGCGGCGGCTTCTCTACTCCCGAGCACGGGCTCTGGGCAAGTAGACTTCAGTCGTTGCAGCTCGTGGTCTCTGGAGAACAGACTCAGTAGTTCTGATGCATGCCTTTAGTTGCTCAGAAGCAGGTGAAATCCTCCTGACCAGGGATCAAGCCCATGTACCGTGCTCTGGCAGGCGGAATCCTATCCACTGAGCCACCAGGAAAGTCCTCTAAACAATGCTTAACTTGGAGATAGACACTGGTTCATCATGGCCACCCCATACATGAGGTTTCCATATTTGAGTATGGGTAAATAAACAAGCAATGTATGTCATACTTTTTGAATACACAGACACACAACCATCAGCTCTGTATTCATTAGCCCTGCAGACACACAACCACCTGCTCTGTACTCACTAGCCCTGATGATGTGACTTTGGCAGCAGGCCTGTCACTGACATTGTGGTTGTTCTAGTTGCTGAGTCATGTGCAACTCTTTGGCGACCCCCTCTATCCATGAAATTTCCCAGGCAAGAACACTCAGGTGGTTTGCCATTTCTTCTCCAGGAGATCTTCCTGAGCCAGAAATCAAACTGGGTCTCCTGAATGGGCAGGATGATTCTTTACCACGGTGCACCAGGGAAGCCCATGTTGCTGATAATCACTTGTTCAGACCCATGCAATTTACAGCACCAACTGTGAACCCTAATGGAAGCTATAGAAGCTGGGTAATTTTCATGTATCCATGTGGGTTCATCAATTGATAAAATGTACACCTCGGGTGTGGAAGGCTGAATATGGAGGAGGCCCTACACTTGTGGGCAGCTGGTCCCTAGGAAAACTCTGTACCTTCCCTCACTTTTGCTGTGAAACTAAAGCTACTATAAAAGATAACCTTTAAGACAACTGAACTGCCCTGGCACCAACCCTAATCAGGCTCGAGGAAGATGGAGATTCACCTTTGAAACTTCAAATATCAAAAGGTAAAAAGAAGTAAAAACAATCTAATAATTAAATTAGAATGCTAAAGAGGCCATTAGATCCTAATAATTCAGTTACTACAATCATACAGGGTGACAGGGACACTGAGGCCAGAGCTAGCGTGCTTGATCCCTGTGTCCCTTTTGCTGAAAGAATCTCTGATCAGGGGCCTATGGAGAAGCCCCACCTTCCTTCCCACCATGAAGACCAGGTCCCCTGATGGGGTCAGAGATAGAGAAGGTGGGAAGAGGAGGTTCAGAATCACCGCACCACCCCTGGTCTTCCAATTCCACCTGGCCCTGCCCCATGCAGCCTTTGCATGTCCACATGGACCCTCTGGCACAGGCGAGACACACGGAGGTTTCCTCACCCTCCTCCTACTTACAGATGCTCCAGTCCTGCCCCAGGGCTGAGAATGTTGCAACTGGATCCTCTTCTACAAAGAGAAATTGGCCTGGTATCAACACAAATCTCAACTGAATGAAATCTTGGAGTGGGGTATGTAAAAGAAGATCTTGGATGAGAGAGTTGGAAATTCAGAGTGGGACATGATTGAGCATAAATGACATGTAGTGTTGAAAGGGTTAGTCACTTGGTCGTGTCCGATGCTTTGCGACCTCCTGCCTGTAGCCTGCCAGGATCCTCTGTCCCTGGGGTTTGTAAAATGATATGTAAACACTTGACAAATGCTTGAGCTGTCTTAGGAGAAAACCTGCTTGAGGGCCTTTCCCTTCTACACTCCCCTCCTTGGCCACCAGAGGGCGGCAGAGCTCCTCCACAGTCGGGCGCCTCCACAGGGCTGCCCACCTCCTTCCCACTTAGCAGCTCCCACCGCCCAGCAGCCTCTGACCCTCAGCAACCTACTCCGTCCACGGTCCTCCCCACTCTCGCAGTTCCCCACACTGGACTCTGTCAGCTCCTCCTCCCAGCCAGGCCCACCTGAAGGCCAGACTCCCCTCAGGTAGCTCTGCCCTCTCAGGCCCCTGTCCTTCTCTGCTGAGGGTCTGCTCACCCTTCACGTCTCAGGCAAAAGCTCACTTCCTCAGGGGTGCTTTCCATGATTCCCAGTCCAGCTGAGATTCCATGACAGACTCCGGATGCACCAGAGCCTTCCCCTTCAGTCCATCCCTCCATTATAATTAGCTCCCTATTTCCAGGATTTTCTCTGGGTGTCTGCCTCCCCATCACAAGTCAAGTGTGTTCACCCACGACCCAACTCTATCCTATTCTCTGGAGTCCAGAACACAACCCAGGGCTGACATGTCACACATGCTCAATAAATACTCTTTAAATAGTTAAGGGAATCTACATAACAGAAGCCAGACCCCCACCCCCCACCCAGTGTGACACCGAGGGGTCAGAGAATATCCCTTGTGGACACAGGGGCCCTGACATCAGAGTGGGGGGAGACCTGCCAGTGCCACAGCCTCTCCAGGGCGGGACTCTATTCCTCCCGGAGTCAGGAGTGAGGACAGGGGCCTCTTATCTGTGAGGAGGCAGACCCTCTGCTCATTCCCAGATTATCACACCCACTCCCATCTCTACTCAGGAGAATCTTCTAGTCTCCCAGGAGGGCCTGGGCTGGCAGCTTGAGTCCTTCTCCTTCTCTCGGAGACCTGACGTGGCTCAGAATCCTGATCCTCCATCCGAGGAAATGACCACAGGGGAGGGAGAGCCCCAGTGTGAACTCACAGGAATTGGGGAGCAGCGCCTCATCCCAGGGTCCCTGATCTGAGGGGACACCTGTGGTCCTTGGAGACATCTCAGTCCCCCAAAACATCCTGGGAAAGGAAGGGAACTTCCAGAGCAGCGTGGCACAGGGGAACCCAGCTTATGCAGTTGCTCCATCTCAGGGGGACTGGGGTCCCGTGGGGGAGGTGGAACTGCCCCAGGTCCCGGCACTGTGGGGAGACCGAGAGCAGACCACCGATGGGGACACAGAGAACTAGGGCGCAGCCCCAGTGCTGAGAGGTGGGGAAGGACAGGGCCTTCTGGGGTCCAGCCCACAGGCCGCCACCCTCGCCCCAAAGCCCCAGAGACTCCCCACCGACCCTTGCTTTGAAACCTCATGGACTGAGAGCTCCTCTTGAGCACACGTCCACCTCAATCGATGGTTCTGCTGCCACTGAACAACGCCCATCCTCTCCCTGGGCTCACCCTGCGCTGGGATGGAGTTGGGAAGTCTGAGGACAGTGACCTGCACCCTGGCTGAGAGCCCCTAGTCTGGAGGTCAACGCCCCCCTCTGCCCAGGGCGCAGAGCCGGCTCACACCCTTTGGCATTTGCACACCTGTGCAGCCCCTAATATTGTCCCCAGGTCTGCTCATGACCTCCAGGGGGCGATATGGGGCCACACAGAAGATTAACAGGTGAACTTTGCCTTGGCTAAGGAGGTGGAGAAGGAGCCTGATTTCCATCCCTCCCTCTAAACAGCGGTCCCCAACCTTAAGGGCACCAGGGAACGGATTCATGGAAGACAGTTGCGGAGTGGTGGGGATGACTTGGGGATAATTCAAGTGCATTACAATTACTGTGCACTTATATCTATTATTATTACATCAACTCCACATCGGATCATCAGGCGTTAGACCCCAGGGGACCCCTCCTCTAAAAGACCCTCAGGGCCCCTCCTGCGTGCCCACACTATGCTGCCCAACCTTCTAGGGGCCTATGGGCACTCATGCCAGCTCCCATCCCTGCCTGGAACCACCCATGGGAAAGATCACAGTGACCTCAGAAAAATTGGCCAGGGTGACAGAGGAGGCCCTATAATGGCAAGGAGGACCTGAACAGTTTCTGAACCAAGTCTCAGGCAACAGACACAGAGAGGGAGAGTCTCCTGGAGCTTGACCCAAGGACCAGGCAGCCCACAGTCAGCCCACCCCCCAGCACCAGCTTCCTCTCTTCCCAGGACACACAGGAAATCTTTCCCTTCTCACCTGCAAACTGAAGCTCATCCTGACACCCACTTCTGGGTCTCTGTCCCTGGAGAAGGCAACCCACTCCAGTATTCTTGCCTGGAGAATCCTGTGGACGGAGGAGCCTGGGGGGCTGCTGCCCACAGGATCGCACAGGGTCGGACACAACTGAAGCGATATAGCCTGCATGCATGCATTGGAGAAGGAAATGGCAACCCACTCCAGGATTCTTGCCTGCAGAGTCCCAGGGATGGAGGAGCCTAGTGGGCTGCCGTCTATGAGGTCTCACAGAGTCAGACATGACTGAAGTGACTTAGCAGCAGCAGCAGCAGCGGTCCCAGAAAACAGACGCCAGGCTGGTGACAAGCTAAGGTGGAGGTCAGGCCCCTCTCCAGTCATCACTCATGTGACCCCTTTCTCTCCTCCAGAATCAGTGTGTTCTTCCTGTGGTGAGTAAAGCAATCTTCTCAGATATTTGAAAACAACAGGAAGACCCTGGGCACCCAGCTGGGTTTCTGTGTCATGGGAACAGTTACCACCAAAATTTGGAAAGTTTGGATCTGTGCGTTGTGCTGAGAGACCCCAGATGAAAACACAGCAGAAGCCATCACTGGGGTGGGTGGGGCAGCCTAACCGGGGTTCTGGGATCTCAGTCAGGCTGGGCAAGCACATGACCTGGGCGGCTGCTGAAACAGCATTTCTAAGGTGTCACCTGCCGGTTCGCAGTCTTCACGAAGCTCCACAGGAGTTTCCCACTCACCGTGGGGATGACGTCCCTGTGACAAGAGTTCCTGATGCAACCCCCACCCCCAGGCTCCTGCTCTGAAGGGAAAAGCCAGAAGGGGATGAGGGAGGGCAGTCGGGGAGGCTGAGTGTGCATCTGCTCCAGATCATGGGGGCCCCAGACCCGGACAGTCCAAGGCTGTGCTTTTCCAGACAAGGGTGTATGTGTGTATAGGTGTGTGTGTGTGTAGGTGTCTGTGCATAGCTGTGTGTTTAGGGGTGTGTGTGGAGGTGTGGAGGTGTGTATGTGTGTGGATGTGTGTGTGTGTGTGTGTCGGTGTGTGTGTAGGTGGAGAATCACTGCTCTAGAAGGCAGAGGCCTCCGCAGAGCTCAGGGAGTAGAAACACAGACAGAAGGGGAAGGGGGCGGGGCCACTAGGGAGGGAAGGAAGAGCGGGGAGGCAGTGGGAGGGGCCTGGGCAGAGGCCCCGCCCCGGGCCACGTGACCCAGCCAAGTGCTCCTGCCCCGGGAGGAGGCCCAGCGCAGAGCGGGATGGACAGCAGAGCTCGCACAGCGACCGCAGGCCCTGTGAGCGTTTCTGGACCGGAAGTTCTCCTCACAGAGAGAGGGGCCTGCAGAGAGCAGGCCCCATGGAGCCCCCGTCAGGCCCTGCAAGCAGGAGGCATGTCCCCTGGAACAGGCTCCTCCTGGCAGGTGAGAGGGGCCAGTTTTCAGGGAGTGGGCAGACACTGGAGAACAAGAGACGGGCTGGTCTCTGGGGGAGACAGGGCTCTGAGAGGGGACAGAGGACTTCTGTTCAGGCCTGAGGGCAGAGGGCGGGGAGCAGGGGAGGTGGGGGGCTCAGCCCCAGGGGACTCTCCATGAACTAGAGTCAGTGAGGGGCGGGAAGACCTCAAATGGTGTAGGTTTTGTAAGTTATTCTTCACTGAGCAGTAATTGTTGAAAACTGATGACAATAATAACATTTTATTGTGTCACCACAGAAAAAGACATAACCAAGACAGTAACCACAGTCCTTACCCGGCACCCTTAGAAACTGACAAACACCAGGCTGTGGGATTCCTGGGAACACTCCTTCCTTCATCCCCAGCTATTAATACCTGGAGCCTGGTCCAGGCACTGGGGTGTAACGAGGATCAGACAAGCCCCTGCCCTCACGGAGCCCACGCTCTGTGGAGAGGAAGACAGACAAGGAGAGAGATCTAGAATGTGCTGTCAGGCGCTGACAGGCGTCATGCAGGAACCAGACAGGGAAAGGTCAGCAAGTGAACACGGAGGGTCTTTACAGCAGCTGTTCGTTGTGGGGGGCAGCTCCCAAGAGGCCCCTGAGTGTGAGCAGGCGTGTGAGGGCAGCGAGGGAGTGAGCCGGGGGACAGCTGGGGAAACAGAGGAAATACAGAGCCCAGAGGGGCTGAAGTGATGGGGTTCATGCTGCTGACCTTGAACCAGAAGGACACATATATACACATACACACAAACACATACACACGCACGCATGCACGCACACATATACACACACAGACACATACACACACATATACACAGACACAGATGCACATACACACAGACACATATACACACACATATACACATACACACATATACACACACACAGAGACACAGACACACACACACAGCCTCACACAGTATAAAAACACACACCAAGGCTGAGGGATGAAGAGACCTGCTCAGGACCCAGGGCACCATTTTCCCATTGCCACACACAGGTCAGAATATTAACTGATTTCTCTCTCTTCCCTCCTAGTCTCACTCTTTTTTTTTTTTTTTTTTTACTAGTCTCACTGTTAACTTTCTGGCCCCTGCCCACCACTGCCGGCCTCAGTGTTGACACGGTGCTCCCCCTTGCTGCAGAAGGGACAGATGTTCTTCTACTTGCCCACAACATGACAGAGAATAGTCTAGGCTATGCCTGGTACAGAGGAGAAAGGGTAGAAAACATCCAGTTAATTGCATCATACAGAGTAGACACTAATGTAACTACCAAAGGGTCTGCACACAGCGGAAGAGAGACACTTTACCCCAATGGAACCCTGCTCATCCAGACTGTCACCCAGAAAGACACAGGATCCTACACGCTGCTCGTTACAAACGATGATTTACAGACAGAAAGACAAACTGGGCATCTCTGCATACACTGTGAGTGCTTCCTCTCTGACCTTGGGGTATTGGGTGGGAAAGTGAAAGTGAGAGTCGCTCGGTCGTGTCCGACTCTTTGTGACCCCATGGACTATACAGTCCATGAAATTCTCCAGGCCAGAATACTGGAGTGGGTACCCTTTCACTTCTCCAGTGGATCTTCCCAACTCAGGAATCAAACCCAGGTCTCCCACATTGTAGGCAGATTGTTTCCCAGCTGAGCCACCAAGGAAGCCCAAGATAACTGGAGTGGGTAACCTATCCCTTCTCCAGCAGATCTTTTGATCCAGGAATCAAACCAGGGTCTCCTGCATTGCAGGCAGATTCTTTACCAACTGAGCTACGGATCGGGGTAAGTTCTGTTCACACACACAGGACTGACAGACCCGGATGGTGCCTCCATCCTCCTCTGCATTATGTCCAGTGTTGGGGTTTGAACATTTAGTGCAGGACCCACGCTGTGGAGACAAACTTCAAAGGGTCAGAAATGCTTTCCAGGAAGCCAGACCCTGCAGACACCCTGTGCAGGAAGGATGGTCTGATGGAGGGACTCAGCAGAGGGAGAGCACTCTCAGTCCAGTGCCCTGGGTCCCTCCCCAGGACCATGACCCTGAGGAAGACCCTTCAGGACTCAGGGAAGACCCTGGCCTGAGGGCCCCCAGGGATCCTCACAGAGAAACTCAGCCCCAGGAAGCCCTTCTCCAGACCCTGTCCCAGGACTCCTGCCTCCAGTGACACTGAGCCAAATCCCTAGGCTCCAAGCTGGTCGCCAGCCAGAGCTCAGCCCTGAGAGCCACAACCAGGCAAGGGGACAGCCTGGTCCTGCTCCTGAGACTCAGCATGGAGGTCACAGGGGCACAAGGTCCCCAGGTGGTCAGTCAGCTGCCCTGGGGGACTTGGAGACTCCAGAGAAGTCTCAGCATCCCCAGGGAGGAACGAAGGAAGGAAGACACTCCTAGAAGCTCCTCATCCCCGGGGTGCCGCCCAGGGAGCTGTCTCCCGAGGCTGGTTGATGAAAACCAGGAGACACAAGGTGGTCTCTGAATCCCTCCCTGTCCTGTCCACCACTAAACGCAACTGCACAGTCAACCCCCGAGGAAGCCTGTGCTTCTCCTAGACATAGAGCAGGTGGCCTCACACTCTCTGAGCTCAGCTCCCCATGCATTTGTCTTCGATACACAGACCTGCCTTATTCTTTAACGGCTCAGTCTGGCTGAGAGGTGAGAGATGCCAATCATGATTGAAGATGCTTTTAGAGAAGCCAAAGGTGGAAAAGGGGCAATGTTCTGTCTGTTATCTGCACAGCGGTGCTACCCACACCCGTCATCATCAGCAACAACTCCAGCCCCTGGGAACACGAGGACACTGTGGTATTAACGTGTAGATTTGAGACTCAGGACATCTTCTACATGTATTCGATCAACAATCAGAGCCTCCACAACAGCACCAAGCTGGAACTGTGCAAGAGAAACAGGGTTCTCACAGTGTTCAATGTGACAAGGAATGACACAGGACCCTATGTGTGTGAAGCCCGGAACCCAGAGAATATCATCCATGGTGACCCAATCAACCTGAATGGCCTCTGTGAGTAACCTCTGTTCCTACATGGCCCAGGCCTCCTGGCTGAATCTACAGTGCCAGAGGCCAGGCCGTACCCATCCCTCTCAGGTCCAAGAGCAAGGATCCTCACCCTGGGACACCCAGGCTGGCCATGACTTCCTGTCCCAGGCAAGCCCAGGCAGGCCCACCTTGAATCAAGACTAGGAGGGGATGGACTGCTCTGTCTTGAGAGGCTCAGGGTCACCAGCCTGTGATGGAAGAAACAGGTTAATGTCTTAGACTCAGGATGAGTGAACATGAGAGGTAATGGTTGAGACTTTCTACAACAAGGCTGTGATCCAGACAGAAGGACGCTGTGGCCCTAATACAGACCAGGAATTTCCCTTCCCTCTGATTGTACCATGTGTGGCTTTATGCTCTTTGCTTCAGATGGCCCAGACACCCCACCACTTCCCCTCAGACTACTGTTACCATTCAGAGGCAAACCTCAGCCTCTCCCACCACACAGCCTCTAACCCCAGCCACAACGTGTCCCTGGTTTATCACCGGGAGGCCCCCACAATCCATACAGGAACTCTTTATCCCCAACATCACTGCAGATAAGAGTTGATCCTGTAACTGCCTTGTCCATAACTTTGTCACTGATCCCAGTAAAACCACAGCCAAGGCTATCACAGTCTCTGGTAAGTGGCCCCTGGTCCATCAGTACCAAGTTTTGTGGTAGAGCCTGTAGGTTTTCAGAAAAGAATCTGAAAGAAGTTACCTCCCAACTTCCCAGAAGTTACAAACAAATTCCAAATCAGCCCCTGAACCCTCCCACTACATCTCAGCAGACCCTTCTTCCTCCTGCTGTCTGATTTCTCCTGGCAGACCTTGGGTCCAGCCTGGAATGTGGGGAGGGGATTCTCTCAGACCCTGACAGCCTCATGTAGGGGGAGATAGGAAACAAAGAAGGGGCCCCAGGGTCGAGTGCCTTTTGTTGTTGTTGAAGAAATGGATATTAATCTCTTACCAGATGTGATTTGCTATGTGCTCGGTCGCTCAGTTGTGTCCGACTCTTTGCGGCCCCATGGACTGTAGCCCACCAGCCTCCTCTGTCCATGGAATTTTCCAGGCAAGAATACTGAAATGAATTGCCATGCCCTCCTCCAGGGGATCTTTCCCAACCCAAGGATCAAACCCAGGTCTCCTGAATTGCAGGCAGATTCTTTATTGTCTGAGCCATCAGCGAAGCCCAGTTGTGTGAACTCCGTTGGTTTATTTAAGCGCCATGGGTCTCAGACGTATGTACACACAGCAAGGACGACACCCCCTCCATCATGGGAAGGGGAGGATCAGAACAGATGGACCTAAAGGATTCTCCCACAGTGCCAGCCACACAGAATGAACTGGAAACAGTCGGCTAATATTACTATTACTCATCAGGCATTGAGCAGACCTTCCCTCTAAGACTGGCAATAGGGATGGGAAGGAAAAACAAGGGGAAGGGGCATAATGTAAGAGGAAAGAGTCCTTAACAGGAACATGAATAGGACATGGAGCTGGCTACAGTGAGAGAATGTCGAGTTAGAGGAAGTCCGAGGTTTCAAATGTGATTAAAAAAAGAGAGAGAGAGATGCAATCGCCTGCAGCAGGAGAGTTGGGAAGACACTGTGATGACAAAACACACGACCACACACAGACCTCAACGCGTTTCCTTCCTCCCTAACCAGGCCCTCTCCCCCATAGGACTTCTTGCGGTTTTTCTGGTCAGGTGAACTCAGGCCTTCGTCTCCCCCTTTATCTTCTGCTTTCAGGCCAAGAAAACAGCCCAGCCCTCAATAACGAGATTGTTATCGCCATCATGACTGGGATCCTGGTTAGGTTGGCACTGGTGACCACTCTGGGGTGTTTTGTTTTCCTCAAGATGACTAGAAGGTACAAATGGCAATGCCCGATGCTAATCCTGTCCCCCAGGCTGATGCCAAGCCAGGAAGAAAGACACCCTATCCTTGGATTCCGGACCTGGCTCTCCACAGCCTCCCTACTCCCCCCAAAGACATTCCCTCTCATCCGCCAGCCCCTCCTTCACCAGATGCTGACCTGGGGTGGCTTCCCAACACCTTCTTCATCTGTATATTAGACACAGTTAACTCCCCACTGTCTCCCCATTTTCCCTGGTGGCTCAGTGGTAAAGAATCCGCCTGCAATGCAGAAGATGTGGGTTTAATCCCTGTGTCGGGAAGATCCCCTGGAGAAGGAAATGGCAACCCACTCCAGTATTCTTGCCTGGAGAACCCCATGGACAGAGAAGCCTGGAGGGCCACAGTCCACGAGATCGCAAAGAGTTGGACGCGACTGTGCATCTGACCACATACGTACACACTCCCTATTTAGAAAAGGGAACCCTCCTTGTTCCCTGTTTTGACACCAAAGCTGTGACCTCCTGCTGCCTCCTGCAACCCTCAGAGATAATCTTAACCTTTCCTAGGGCCAGTGGACAGAATGACCTCAGAGAGCAGCAGCCTCCAGCAGCCACCCTGGGTGAGTGTCTTCTCAGCCCACGAGCAGCTGGGACACCCTGTTCCTATCCTCGTCTCTGCTCCAGCCAGCCACCGCCCTGGGGCTTCATCACAGGGGATCCGCACTGACTGGCCTGCTAGATGTGTGAGTTCTGAGTCATGGGTCACCTCACTGGACCCTAAATGCCCAGAAGGTCCCTCCCTGGGTGATGCCCCTTCTCCCATGGTTCTCTGGAAGCTGAGGACCCCCAGCCTCTCCTGGGAGGATGGGCTAAACGTCCTCACACCTCTGGTGCTAACTGCTGTCTCTGCTCCTAGGACATGATCCCTCTGGCAGCTCTGTCTCCCCGGTAAGCACATCCTTTCCTTGTCTCTTCTCCCTGTGGTCCCAGCTGTGCAGACTCAGGGCAGTGGGACTGTCCAACACTTCACAGCACAGACACCCTTCACTCTAAGGTAGCCAGCAACATGAACTCCTTCCTGGTCAGGACTGGGACTCACTTCACGGGCAGGACACCCCCACACCCTGCACTGAGCCTGCCTGGTCCCTTCACGATTAACCCTGGAGTCCAGCCAGGAATAGAGTGGGCACTCGGAGCTTCAGACAGGGGTCTCGGGCTATCGAGGGTGTGGCATACAGCCCAGATGGGGACTGAAGTGAGGGCTTCAGGCTTGGAGGTGGCTGCTTGGGAGGCAGGGCTGGTCACTTCTGAGGAGAAATGACTCTCTCCCTGCCCTCCTGATGCCCACTTTCTCTCCTGCCCAGGCCTCCCTACCCAGCCCCAGGCCAATTGTTCCCCTCTATGAGGTGAGTGTTGGGGATGAATGGTCTGATCCTGTACTTCTAAGGGCACGTTCTTGAGGTCCAGGAAACAGCAGCAAAAATGGGAAAATGGGTGAAGAGGAGTGATGCATCTGGGGCTAGAAAGCCTCCAGTACAGCCATGCTCCCCACAAAGCACCTCTTTGGACCCCGGGCCAGGGAGATCCTGGGGCCTGTTCTGAGAAGTTTATAGGGGCTCAAAGGCCTCTTCTTTCTTTACAGGAATTACTGTATCCCAACAGATCTCTACTGCCAGATCCACCCCGAAGTAGATGTGGTTTCTTAGTTTGCTCCAGGAACTTCCCCCTAAGGGCTGTGGAGAAGAGCCCGCCTGAGACCCAGAGTCTGAGTGAGGTCAGAAACCTGAAGCAGAGAAACAGCTGCGACCTGTGAAGATACTGGGGGACCTGGGCTCAGCCTTAGTGTCCCTCCTGGCCTTCTGGAGGCCCTGACAAGGCTGCTCTGAGCCCTGGATGGATGAAGGCAAGGACTTCCATTCCCTGAGGAACTGAGGGCTTCCAAGGGAAGTGGCTGGGCCTGTGACCCACTGAGAGGTGGGCTGTGGACCACCTGAGAGGCCTGAATAAAGAGAACTTTCCTCTCATTTGCTCTTTTTGTGCACATGGGCTCCTGCCACCTAAAACTCACCCAGGTTCCACAGCAGTGGGACAAACTGTCTCCTCCTCAATGTGGCCCTCGGGCCTCCTCCCACCTGGGCCTCATCTGCCGCCCCCTCCACACACCTGAAGAACTGAGGTCACCTGGGGAGGGTGAGCTTCCCATGTAAGTTCACATGGGTCAGTTTAGCCACATTTCACCCAAACAAAAGTGGTCTGTGCACTAAGGCACAGAGCCCAGAATTCAGGAGGATGTTCGGCCATTGCCTGAGTGTTGTTTGTTATGAGATAAGAGACAGTTACGAAACCTGCTAAGTTTCACATCATGATTTGGCTCTAAGATACTCCTTATCTCGTATGCACACAATGTTGGGTTAGAGAAAGTGACACCTCTTGTTGTTTCCTATTGCTGCTGTAGCAACTTATCACAAACCTGTGGTATAAAACAACACAAATCAAGATGTCAACACAGCTCTGTTCTTTCTGGATGGTCTAGGAGGGAGTTTGTTTCCTTGCCTTTCCAAGCTGTGAGAGGCTACCTGTTTTCCTTGGCTTGTGGCCCCTTCCTCCATCTTCAAAAGTCAGCAGTGGAGTATCTTAAAGTCAGGCTCTGCTTCCATCATCACATCTCTTTCTCTGGCTCTGCCTCTCCTGCCTTCCCTTTTCTTTATAAGGACCACCCTTGTGATTATATTGGGCCCAGCCAGATAACTCACCATAATCTCCTAATCACATGATCCTTAATTTATAATTTCCCTTTACTTTAGGACATCTGCAGAGATTCCCACTTAAGCCACCTAAGCCTGCATGCCACAACTACTAAACCCACACACCACAACTAGAGTCTGTGCACTGCAACAAAAGATCCTGCATGTTTCAACAAGACTCAATGCAGCCAAATAAATACAATTTTTAAAAATATGTGGTCAACTTTGAGGGGCCGCTGTTCTCTCTATCACATCTCTCAAGGTTGTGGTCATCATCTTCTCTCACTGCAAACTACTCATAGTGCTTTAGTCGCCAAGTTGTGTCTGATTCTTGCGACCCCATTGACTGGGAACCTACCAGGCTCTTCTGTCCATGGGATTCTCCAGGCAAGAATACTGGAGTGGGTTGCCATTTCCTTCTCCAGGGGGTCTTCCCAACCCAGGAATCAAACCCAGGTCTCCTGCATTGCAGGGAAATTCTCTACCGATTGAGCTACAAAACTACTACTCATGGGCAATCTGGAATTGGTCTTCCTGACTGTGGGGTTAGTTCCTGATTTGATGTGCACACCACCCTCACTGTCCTTTAGCCATGGAGACAGAAGCCAGTAAACACTCCCTGAAGCCCTCTCCACCTCTTCCTTGTTAGAACGCTGTGTTAAGAATGTAAAGAAAGCAGATGCAGCTCCTTTGGGTAGCTAGTGTTGGTCAGCACCATGGACAGGGTCTTCACGGGCTGCACAGAAAGGACCCAATAAAAAGGAATGACTGAAAATCCCGCCCATTTCTATTCTTTCTTTAAAAAAGATGCAACGAGGCAGAACGTTTAAGGGATAGCCTGCTTTGCTCTAATTTATAAGTCGTGAACCTTTTGCATGTGTCTGGACAGTACTTGCTGGCACATCTTTTACAACTTGCCACACTGCTGCTGACCACAGCCCCTGGGGAGGCTGAGAACTTACTTTGGCATCTCAGGGAGTCTCCCCACCCCTGAGAGTCAGGCAACTGTCCTGCCTGCAACATTAAGGGAATATTTCATGATTAACCTTCTGAACCTTGGTGCCTGACCTTGGAAACACAGCCATCCATCACTGAGCCTGGAGCACCACCTGAGCACAGCCTTCTGTTCCCTGAGCACAGCCTTCTGTTCCCTGAGCCCCAGCTGAGCTTCCCAGGGTACTCAGGCTACTGAGTACTGAGCAGTACTCAGTACTGCAGGCTGAGCAGAGCTCCAGGTTACTTTCCCAGCTCCTCCAGGCTGAGAGCCCTGTGCTGGGTGTCCTTCCCAGCAGAGCAAACCTTTTTCCTGAGGGAACAGTGGAGCATGAAGACATATTTCCCAGGGCAGAACACCAAAGAACTGTTCCATCTGCCTGCAACCCCCAGGTGAAGAGAAAAGACTGGGACCCTCAGAGTCATCCCTTCTCCTTGTTCCCATCCACCTCACACTCACAAAACCAAATCTGACCCTCCAGACTCATCCCTGCCCTTCCCAGTGGCTCAGGTCCAAGCCATCCATTCATGGAACCTAGTGTAAGGATCGTGGGTGCTCTTATTTTTATTAATTCTTTCTTCTGCTTTGAGTTGGATTCTTTTTGCTGTCAGTTTTCTAGTTTCTTGTGATAGAATCTTAGATTATTAATTTGAGGTGGTGTTTCCTCTTTGCTAATAAAAGCATTTTGTTGCATAAGTACCCTTCTCGGCATTACATAAGCTACATTCTACAAATGGTTGGAGGTTTTTTAATTCAGTATTTAATTCAATTTTTTTTTAATTTCCTTTGCGACTTCACTTCTGGCCATAGATTATTCATAAATATGTTATTTATTTTCTAAATGTTTCAGAGATTTTCTTGTTGTCTTTCTGTTGCTAATTTATACTGTGACTGTATTATTGTCAGAGAACATACTCTGTTGGATTTATTTTATTTTTATTATTTTTATTTTATTTTAAATTTGGTTAGATTTTAGATATGACACCAAGCCTAAGCAATGGAAGAGGATGAACTGGACCTTCTTCTCTTTGGCCAGTCTTTGAAAGGTCAGCTAGCAGCAAATTCTCATAGTTTTCCTTCATCAGAGAATTTCCTGATTCCCCTTTCATTCCCAAAGGATAAATCTACCAGATTAGAATTCTTAGTTGACAGTTCTTTCCTTTCAGCACTTGAAAAATACACCACTTCCAAATTTTCAGGTACAAAATCTACTGTCATTTAAATTAGAGTTTCTGGGATTTCCCTGGTGATCCAGTGGTTAAGAGTCTGAGTTTCCACTGCAAGAGGCAGGGGTCAATCCCTAGTCAGGGAACTAAGATCCCCCATGCCTCGGGGCAAAAAAAAAAAAAGATCCTGAATAGGAAATGGGTTGTTTGTCTGGATTTTTTTAAATTGAAGGATAATTGCTTTATGTACTGTATTGATTTCTGCCGTGAATCAGCCATAGGTATACCTATGTCCCCTCCCTCTTGATACCCCCTCTCACCTCCCTCCCCAACACACCCCTCTAGGTTGTAAAGATATTTTTTACTTTGTCATCAGTTTTTGCAAGTTTAATATGTATCTTAGTGTGAATTTGTTTAGACTGATCCTATTTTGAGTTCACTCAGCTTCGTGAGCCATTATTGTTTCAATTTTTTTTTCAGTCCATGTTTTCTTTTCCTCTGCTTCTGGTATTTCAATGGTACAAAAGTTAAATCTTTTTATTATTGCCCCCAAAAGCTCTGGGACTCCGTTCACACATCAAATTCTTCCACAGAATAGAAAAAGAGATACAGTTCCCAACTCATCCTGAGATTAAAACCAGAACCAAAAGGAGAATGTCAGACCAGTCACACTTACGAACAGAGATGCAAAAATCCTAAGCAAGGTTTTAGCAAACCAAATCCAGCAGTATGTGAAAAAAGATGACACACCATGACTAAGTTTTGTTGGCCCCAGAGAAGTAAAGGTTATTTAACATTATAAATCTATAAATGGAAGTGCGCAGGAGCTTCTAGGGTGCAAGCAATGTTTTGTTTTCTGATCTAACTGCTAGATACGTGGGTATGTCCAATTTTTTAGACATGATTAAGCAATACACTTATGACTTGCACATGTCTTTGCATGTAATACATCAGTTTTTAAAGTTTTAAAAAATCTACATTGTGTGCCATATTAACATATCAAAGGGAAAACTCCTGATTATCTCAATAGATATAGAAAAATAATTTAATAATATTTGCCATCAGCTTATATTTGTAAACTATTGCACTATGAACACAAGGGAACCGCCTTAATCTGATTAAGAATACCTAGCAATTTCTACATTCTCGTGTTTTTTACAGCATTATTCACAATAGCTAAGACTTGGAAACAACCTAAGTGTCCATCAATGGATGAATGGATAAAGATGTAAAGAGGATGTGAGATAGAAAGATGAAATATTATTCAGCTATGCAAAAGAAAGAAATCTTACCATTTGCAAAAAAAAAAAAAGGTGGATGGACTTTGATGGCATTATGCTAACTGAAATGAATCAGACAGGCAAAGATACATACTATATGATAGTGGCCCCAACCTTTTTTAGCACCAGGGACTGGTTTCATGGAAGACAATTTTTCCACAGATGGGGGCTGGGGGATCATTTCAGAATGATTCAAGCACATTACATTTTTTGTGCATGTTATTTCTATTATTACATCAACTCCACCTCAGCATCAGGCATTAGATCTCAGAGCTTGGGGGACCTATGCTATATGATATCACTTACATGTGGAGTACAAAAAAAGCCAATGCATAGAAACAGAAAGTAGGATGGTAATTACCAGGAGTTGAGGGGTAGGGGGGATGAGGAAACGTTGCTCAAAGAGTACAAACTTCCAGTGGTAAAATAAACAGGTTCTAGGAGTCTTATGTACAGCACGCTGATTATAGTTAGTAAAACTCTATTGTATACTTGAAAGTGCTAGGAGAGTAGACTTTAAATGGTCTCACCACAAACAAGAAATGGTAATTATGTGATGAGATGGACATGTTAGCTAATGCTATGGTAGCAATCATTTTGCAATACACATGTGTTTCAAATCATCACAGTGTACAACCTAAATAAGTGTTGCATGTCTATTATATGAGGCTGCCCTGGTGGCTCAGTGGTAAAGAATCCGCCTTCCAATGCAGGAGACGCAAGAGACGCAGCTTCCATCCCTGGTCTGGGAAGATCCCCTGGAGGAGGAAATGGCAACCCACTCCAGAATTCTTGCCTGGTGAATCCCATGGACAGAGGAGCCTGGAGGGCTACAGTCCA